GTGAGGACGAGTTACCCGGTGCAGAAGACCGTGTTACGAATGAACCTATTACATTTGCATCTTTCAACTGAATCCACACAAAAGCAAAATTCCAATGTTGGTCCATGAGCAAACTAACAAAGCTCGAAAAACTGTGACAATCGACTCTTCCGATCGCCTACGATAATGGACGAGTTGTCACATAAAGGCTGAATCTCTAAACAATTTTATTATGACTTGAAATTTTAGACCTTCGATGACTAGAAATCAAACACGACCAAAATGATGATAAGACGGCAGAATAACAATAGCAACAACACACTGAATCATATGATGACTTTGTCATGATACCACATGAACCCAAAAAAGGACCTAATGTACCACAAGAATAAGTGCTGCGAAGTAAAATACTCTAACAATAATATCTATTCAACGACTACAATCAATACTGATCACTTACGACGTCTAAAAAGCTCTGTCGACGGCTCTGAATATCTTTCAAATCCCAAAAAGAGAATGGGAGGGGCGTGCGCGCTTATTGATGCATTTGAGAAAGCTAGGAGTGTAAACGGGCTGGTCTGACGCCTACAGTGACTCCCAGACCAGACAGACTTGAATGAGAATGAATTCAAAGAGGTTCGATCCTTCAACTGGGTCGAGAGGTGCCCCACCCAGGTTTCTTTGTGGGATTTGAAGAGTACTCCAACGGATACATGAAATCTACTGAGCAGTAAACTACGATGAGATCAAAGGACCGGGAAGAGATCAAATATTACTAGACCAGTTTTCTATCACCATATTGACAATCAAAAAGTACCCGCGATATTTCCAATCGTGCCAAAGCGAATGTACGTGCATCCATGCCACTCAACGATTTTTCAATTGAACGAACAAATAAGGAAACCTGAAATTAAATAGTGAAAAAGGATAAAGTGTGGGGAGTTAATCAATCGCGTGAGAGGGATGCGCCCCGCATTCGACTTCCATTCAGAGTCGTAGTGGCGTACTGAATGCATACGTGGCTGGAACAATAACTCGCGGTGGCCAGCCGATGTACAAGGCACTGTTTTTATTCTCCCAGACGAGTCTGGTACCAATTCACCGACCCCGGAGAGATGGAAGATTTGGTTGGCTTAGGCAGATAT